ACCCTAGTATTTTCTCTTTATGCTTTGGTATGCATTTTTAATTAGATAGACTCCAGTTCCTTCACCACTAGCTAACACTTTTATTTGGGAAGCAGTCTTTACTAGCCCTGCAAATATCCGCTGTTCTTTGCAATGTCAAGTCCTTTTCTCACCTTGCTTTGACTTGGTTATCACTTATATCACAAGTAATTCATCCATCTGTTAACTGCTCCAATTCACGTTACTTGGCTTTATTTTGAAGATCTTAACAATGGTCAATGGTCTCATCTGGCAGCTGCTTTCTTGTAAAAAATGTGCCTTTCCCAAGCGACATGCTTGCGAGGATCAAAATATTCACTGAATGGGGCTTATCTCGCAGTTTACAGGTCCCTCAGGCTCTCCATAGAACATATTGTATATACCCAGTGCTTTGGGCATGCCATGTGTAGTAATGTAGAGGACCTCACCTTCTTCAATCTTATTTCACTCTTCTCCAGCTTTCTGACATGTTTTCTTTTCATACTGTGGGATACTTTTTGGAAGGAAAAATAAAGGCATATATTGAGCATCTACATGATGCATGTTTAAGTTTGGATCAGGAGCATGCCTTTAAAGCCTCGATTGTCTCTGCTTGGGTGTTTTGATTTGCTGTGCTAATCTCTCTCAGGAACACTGAAACTGGATTCATTCACATGAAAAACTGCAGACCAGGAACATGCTTAAAACACTTCACTTGCAAATGCTCATTCAATTCACGGGTTGAAACTAGAGCTATCCAAAGGACAAAAAAAGGCTGACAAAAATATTGTGTTGCCTGTCTAGACCTACCAACTAATTCCTACTATTCTGTACTACGTCCTAATGCAGACAGAGCCTTAGAAATGACTGCAATAGTCAATTTCTTAGCTCTTGCTTCCTGACACTGACACAAAGCACTGTACCAGCTACATAGCATTTTGTAAAGGAGTGTTTCAGCTCAGCTACAAGAACATCTTAAGTGCTAAAGGAAGTGTAAAATTTATTTTTATTGTGTCACAAATAAGGGGGAAAACTCCCACTGAATAAAAAGAAAAAAAATTAGAAAAAAGTTGAACATTGCTCCATCCCACAGTAATCCAGAAAAAAACCACAGTATGTCCACTTTACACACCACCTTTCTCTTAATTTGCAGTCGTCAATTTACAGTCTTCTACGTGGTTATTTAAATAATCTGTCTCTCACAGAGTAGCACCTTTGCAATTGCCAGGGACACAAACCCACTCCTCTGTTGTCTCATAAAAATTTTCCATAGACACCCCCAACACAAGTATTTCCAGCAAGACTGATTTTTTCTTGGCCTTATCTTCTCCAGATGGTTTGTAGATGGTTCTCACAACTCAGCCACTTTAAATAGACATAAAAAGACAAAAGTCCAGTTTCCTGTAGAATAGTATAGGAGATTTGTATTGTTTCCTGTATACAGAAACTTTCAATATAAACAGTATCTTTTGGCCCTGATATTCCAGGGCAGTTCTAATGCATTCAGAAGTGAATGTTTGCATTCTTAATATTCTTTACCTTCTAAACTGTGACAGATTCTATCCAAATACATCGCTACCATTCTTCTCACTCAAAATTATGCTGGGTTTATACTTGTCATAATTTAATGGGCAAAACTATATTCTTGAAAACATGAAAATAGTGGGTTTTTTTTGCAAGTTTTAATTAATCATATGCTTTATGATTAATGGAGCCTTTTTCAAACCTCTATCAGCATTTGGTAGCTGATTGCAGAATGTTCAGATGACTGAAAAAAGCATTCTCACTTTTATTTACTGTCTTTAACCTATATTCTTGTAAAATTTAATTCATTGTCTGTGACAAGACCTCTTATTAGTCTGCATGCATCAAAGAGTTGTTCAGGCATTTCACAAGCTGTTGTGGATGTCACAGAGGTCATAATAAGCACTCCTAACCATTTTGAGTGCTCGCCAAGTATGACAGAAGAAATCATTTCCCCACATACAGATTTGCCAAATCTCTATGTACAGAGCTCCAGTCTAGGGTAAAATACTGCAGTTTAAAAAACTCCAATTCCTCTATTGTTATCTATTCAATGTTTGACTACCAAACATGGTTTGTAGCTAAACAAAGAAAAACAAGCGTGCTTTTTCTAACTTATTTCCTCACTAGGTCAAAATCAGGTCTCTGCAGTATATTTGCATTCCCTGTGCTCCCATTTATGTTCTCAAATAGAGATGTACTTGTTCAAAACTCTAGTGTCTCATCCAGTTCTACAGTATACACTGTATTCTAATCCCAGACTTTATATATATGTATATTTAATATAAATAATTGTTAACAAAGTCCTGGAGATTTCCCTTGTTCCAGCACAAAAACTGTGGCCAATCTCTCAGTGTATATTCTCATGTTCTATAGACAACACTTCAGTTTTGTCATTCAGCTCTGAAAATTAAACCCATTAATTACAGAGCAGCAGGATTACTGCTGCTTTAACTAAATCACAGACCTGGGGGAAAATCACGTTCTAGATACACTGGAAACTACGAAATAATAGTGTGATCTCTTAGCAAGTCTGATCATTGTTGATCACTTTACTAGGACAGTAAGGACAGAAAGGTACAAGGACAACTGGAAGAATGTAAGGGGCCAACCAAAATAAGCTTTTACCACTTACGACATCCATCCAAGTAATAAAAATGAAAAGAACAAAATCATAACATTTTAATTCAGCACTTCCTTTACAGCTAAATAATAAATACAAATATTCTGTAGATTAGCACTAGTTAGACAAAAACAATGCAGGATTTAGTATCATGCAAGAGAGTGCCCTTCAGATTAAATGACAATTTGGAAGTGTTTAACAACATATGGTCTCTTTTCTTTGACATATACGATTAAGAATATATCTTTTTTATATCAAAATATAAAATACCATCTGTTGTAAGTACCAAAGATGATACTGGCTCTATATATCCAATTAATTCACTATACTTTTTAATGTAAATATTTCTTCTATTTTCTCCTTTTTTTCCTTCTTCTCTAAGTATATTATTTATAAAATTTCAATAAATGTATGTTTTATGAGAGTCAATACTACGATGTGAAATATAATTAAGAATAACAATGAAAGTCTGTTCCACTTTGTATTTCAAAGAAGGCCCAAATCTTCAGATGGTTTGAACTGACATAACTCATTCAAATCAGTGGGTAAAGGTGAAGTACAGAATCTGACTACATTGCTTTTCCTTGCTGTATATGTTAATCCAGGGGAATGCTTCCTCTTCTAAAGAATTTTGTAGATATTTTTTCTTCCAGAACTGCAGTGTTCCATAAAGACACATGTTTGCAGAGTAAAAAAATAAAATGTGATGTGTATCTCTTACTAAGGTGACAGAATTCCAATCCACTGGGAGAATAAAATTATGAAAATACAGTGCAAATTAGAAAAATATAGAATGCATTTCAATATTTACCTCATTAATGTAATCTAAAAAAAAAAAAAAAAAAAAAAAGTTTTTGACCTTGTAATAATTTTAACAACTTTAGAAGACACTTAAATACACAAAAATCTTGAAGTATTAAGGACAAGACTGTAGCAGCTTGAATTTTCCAGGTAAAATAATAAAGAATGTAACTACCTGCTAGAAATATGTCTCATATTTTCTTTTGTGTGAGACAAACATGCAAACACACACATATACTCTCCGTTTTTTTTATTGTTGTTTTCGTTGTTGTTGTTGTTTGTTTTCCTTTTTTTCCTGAATAATCTGGCTGTGATTGCAATGACAAAATGCACTAATAGGTTTTGTCTTAATTGCATGTAATAGAGATGGCAGGTTCATGGTATAAACTACATTTCTATTCTTTATCTTTTTAAGAATATTTTGGGAATTTTAACTCTAGCAATTCTCTCAGACTAGCAAAGATTTGAAAAGAGATGGAAGAGACTATTAAAAGCATACTGTTTTTCACAGAGATCACCTTCTTAAAGAGCAGAATAGTAGATATGATGTTAATTGAATTTTTCTCTTTTCGTTCATTTTACACAGCGCAGTACAAAAACATAAGATTTCTGAAGAGGCTCATGTGCCATGGAAGGGGTAACTGTATCTGGCTGAAGTGTAATTTATAACACAGTACCTTTCCACTTGCTTCCTTGTAACCATCTGTGCGGTGAAGTGCTGACCATCTTCTAATTTTACATTCTCAATCCTTAAAGGAGCTTCAGAACCAAACTGTAATGCTGTTCTTGGTCATTCATTGTGGAAACACAAGAAATTGCCTTTTAGGTTCTTCAGTTGTTCAGTCAATAAATACTCATAATATTTTAGCAACTATTAGCAGCTTAAGAAAAGCGCTGTTCTAGTCAGAGTGAGTTCCTGAGACACCTAGATCCAGAACAGTCACATATTATCTGAAGAACTATTTGTGATTCCTCAGCCTTGTATTTTCCTCTTTTCATTTACCAATCTTTTTGTTGCTCATTTTTCTCCTGTGTACCATAAAGGTAACTGAAAACTCCAGTTTGTTTCCTTCACATCATTCATTAGTGTGCATGCTTCCATTTTATCTCAAATTTGTCTTCTTTGTATGGAAAAAAATTGTTACCATTCCACTCTTTTCCGTTTCTGCACATATGATTTTTCATATCTATGTGCATTTTATTACTTTTCTCTGAATCCTCTCAATCCTCATGACATCACTTTTGAGATGGCTGCATGCGGTGTTCCTACTAATCATTCTCTTTTTGATTTGATGATGCATTTTTGGAACATAAAACCATCCTATTTGCTGCTTATCTGCACATAGGTGCCAGTTGGACGCAGCCGGGCTCTGAGCTAGAGACAAGCTTAAGGTACAGTACTTGAGAGCAAAGCCTCCCGAGCATTTCACCTCAGCACTCAGTGTCACTTTAAGGACAGCGTCCTTCTGAACGTCACCGCTCCAAGAGCTCCAGGTAACTTTGTGACAGCTGCCGATTTGTAGGTGGACAGAATAACGGCCAACACGAGCGGAGCTGTGGCACCCGACGGTCCCCTGACTTCTCTCATGCTCTCAGGCCCGCAAGCCCCGCTCACGTCTCGCCTGCGCGCCTCGCGCCACACGAGAGGCGGTTTAACGGCCGCAGCAGCTCTCGCGCACGAGCACGAGCTCTCAGCGCGTTCCCGCAGACGGCACGCGCCGTTGCCAAGCAAACTGCTTTGCCACGGCTTCCTGCCCCCCACCCCCAAACCCTACTCCGGCACCGGAAGTCCCGCCGCGCGCCCTCTGAACCGGGAAGCACACGCGGGGGCCTGGGCGGACCGGCTTTGAATGAGATCCGGCTGATTCACGGCGGCCCGGGCCGAGGCGGCGCGCTCGGTGTGGGATCCGGACGGAGGTAAGGGGAGGCGGGGCTGCCCGCTCGTCTCAGAGAGGCGTCCGGGGCCTCGCCTGGCTGTGGGGTGGCCTCTCCGTGGCGGCGGGAGCGGGCCCGGGCGGCGGGCGGGACGGCGAGGGCCTTCTTCATGCGAGGCTGCGGCCGGGCGGAGTGCCGGGAGGAAAGGCGGCCGGGCCCCGGCGGGAGGAGCCCGAAGGAGCCGCGGCGGAGGGGCCGAGCCGGGCACCGGTCGGCACGGGCAACAGAGCTCCTCCGCCTCTTTCCTTTAGGCGGTGTCCAGCCGCTGCCTCAGCGCGGAGCTTCTAGGAGCTGTCTGTTGGGGACCTCGTGGGCCGAAGCGTTGCTGAAGGTGGGGAGAAGGAATGTCCGCGGCGGGCTGGGAGGTGTGAGATTGCGTAGGAACTGAGACACCATCACGAGCGGCAGCGCTGTTCCTTGCATGCGGCAGAGCTCACTCTTGTTCGTAGAACTTCAGTTAGGAAGCTGGCTGCTTGTAAACAGCAGACAGAGCTGAGTGCGGGCTGAGGTCATCGCTTAAAGAGGTATTTGTTTGCATTACAACCAGCAAGTCCTCCAGGACAGCAAGGACTGAGGTAGACATTTCTTTTTCTTGAGCTGTACAAAACGTATTTGAAAACTATAAATAGCCAGAAGGGTATGAGGCAATCTGAACAGCCCTATAGGTTTGCATGAAGCTTAAAAGCTTAGTCCTCCGAGCATGAATCCAAGGTGTACCTCACATACACGGGGTGCAGTTGGACAAAGTTTCTGCTTGGACAAAAAGAGCACTGGCTGAGATTTTCTGTTGTGCAGGCAAGGAAAGGATTTAAGCAGGTTCTGTTTATACCCTGTCCTCTGTGATAAGCCGACACCTGGGATAATTGGCAAGGACAGGTAGTTTGGCTATTTTGAACAGCAGGAATCTGCATGATGACTGCTTGGTGGGGAGGAACTGTTCTAGAACACCTGTATGTCTGCTCTCCCTACTGCACAGTTTTGAGGAGCTCATTGTCTATGTATAACTTTAAATGTTCATTTTAGGGTGATGCAATTTGTTAATGACTGTTCCCTTAACTGCTAACTTGTACTTCATGTACTTTAAACTTGTAAGTTGGTGTACTCAGCAGTACAGAGTGTTTGGCTTCACTCTGGGTTACCTCTGTAACTGCAGCTCAGCAATGGTGTTGCAGGATTAGACATGTTTGCTGTACTTTTGGAAAAAGCAGAATCAGGGGACCCAACCTGCCTGCTTTAGTGTGGTTCTGGTCTGTTAGTCTTTAAAGAACAAATAACTAAGAATTGTCTTAATAGATTTTTTTTTTCTTTTCATTTTTGTACAAAATATAAAAGAAGCTTTCTTTCTTCCCCCCCCACAAACATGTGAAACATCTGTTTTTGTTCAAGTTTTGCTTTTGTTCCATGTTTGTTGACTTTACCTGCATTGGATTTTTGTTCTTTTCTGAGTGAAATGATGCTTCTTTGCAAGTTGCAGTTCCTTAACTTTTTTTGCCTTCATAGCTGCTTCTTGGAATTGTGTTACATTTGCAGCAAAAACCTTAAACCACTTTTTCAGTTACTGTTGATAAAGTAGTTAATCTGTCTGCTGTGTAGGGCTTTTCAACGGGAGGTCTGACAGTATTTACACAAAACTGAGTCTTGTAGTCCTCCTAGGGCAGGTGGAGAAACAGTTACCAGAGGGGAAATGGAAGTTACACTGTGTAGCATGAAGCTACTCAATGTAGCAATTTCAGACTGGATTAAGTTCTTGTTACCTGAGCCTAGCCCAATGTTCTTGTTGCTGTTAGGGCACTCTGGTGGTGTTTTACCAACTCCAGAGTTTCCAATCCAGTAGAATTCTCTTTCGTTGAGGGCTTGCACCATGGATTTTTAGTACTGGATAGAAAGTAATTTACTGTGGTATGGAACTCATGCAAAGAGATTCAGCAATTTAAGACTATTTCAAGTTAATTTCAGAATGTGTGCTGAAATATGCTAAGTCACGTTCAATGTCTTTACTGATGATCTGGGTGAGGGGATTGAGTGCACCCTCAGTAAGTTTGCAGATGACAGCAAGTTTGGAGAAAGTGTTGATCTGCTTGAAGGTAAGAAAGCCCCACAGAGGCATGTGGGCAGTCTGGATAGTTGGGCTGAGGCCAGTAGGATGAAGCTCAATAAGACCAAGTGCCAAGTCCTATACTTTGGTCACAACAACCTTAGGCAACACTACAGACTTGGGGCAGAGTGGCTGGAAGACCATGTAAAGGAAATAGACCTAGGGGTGTTGGTTGATGCTTGACTGAACATGAGCCAGCAGTGTGCCCAGTGGCCAAGAAGGCCAATAACGTCCTGGCTTGAATAAGAAATAGTGCGTCCAGCAGGAGCAGGGAAGAGATTATTGCTCTGTACTCAGCTCTGGTTAGGCTTCATCATGAGTACTGTGTTCAGTTTTGGACCCCTCACTACAAGAAAGACACTGAGGCCCTGGGGCATGTCCAGAGAAGGGTAGCAAATATGATGAGGGGTCTGGTGCACAAGTCTTACAAGGAGCAGCTGAGGGAGCTGGGATTGTTCAGTCTAGAAAAGAAGAGGCTCAGCGGAGACCTTTTTGCTCTCTGCAACTCCTTGAAAGGAGGTTGTGGCAAGGTGGGGGTTGGCCTCTTCTCCTAGGTAACAGCGATAGGACTAGGGCTGAAGGCATCAAGTTGCACCAGGTGAGGTTCAGACTGGATATTAGGAAAAATTTCTTCTTCGGGAGAGTAATTAGGCACTGGAACAGGCTGCCCAGGGGGACAGTGGAGCCACTGTCCCTAAAGATGTTCAAGAAACTTGTAGATGTGGTACTAAGGAACATGTTTTAATGGACAGTATTGGTGGTAGGTGGACAGTTGGACAAGATGTTGTTAGAGATTTTTTCCAGCCATAATGATTCTATGCTTATTGAAATACTTTCTGTCCTTGGAAAAGAAGGGAATGAGAGATGCTATGAATTGTCTGTTTACTTTTCTCTGTTTTAATTTATATATTCATTTTATGAGTATAAAATATGAAATAAATGCAGGTAGGTGTGTAATCAATGCTAGCTTTTTGCATTTGTCAGCAGAGATGGGAAAACTTTCAGCTGTGTGTTACTGTGCTGTATGCATTCACCAGGGGAGAAGTGAGAGGACAGATCAGGCAGCTGGTATCAGGACAGAAGCATAAGCTGCATTCTGGTGCTTCTAAGCTTTCTCTCAGATATTATTGGATTGTGTTTGAAGTGGAAGATCTAGTTAAAATATGCTTTTTTGAAATGTGAATTGGTATCTGTACTTTTTGATGTCTGAATTGTCTGTATTTTACAGTAGTGTTCTGTGACAGGAGCTGCCCATAAAGTAGCATTAACACTGCTCATGAATGATAGACATGAGGAAGTGGAAGTGTGTGTGTGTGTATGTTTGTGGAGGGGTGTCAAATACAATAATGTAGGTTTTTGTGCATCTTTGGTAGCTGTGTGTATGGGAACTGCTGAGTCACGGCCTGAACTTCTGATTGATCATCTGAGGCAAGCCATGAGTCAGCCAGAGGAGCACAGGTGAAGGCAATTCACCTGTGCTGCCAGAAAAGGTGGAGCCAGACTCCACCCCTCCTAGACCTATTTAAGAGCTGACTACCAGAGGGGAAGGATCTCTTCTGGAGATCGCCTCTACTGGTGTTTTGTGGTGAGCCCAGCATAAGGGTAAGCCTTCCATTTATTCTCTTTTGTTACGTCTACTTTGCCTCTCTTGTTTATTTTGTGATTATAACATCTTAATATCCATTGATCATACACTGTGTCTGATGGCTGAAGGCTTGCCAAGCTGCTGTTCTGTGTCATCCTCTTTCCTGTGCTTACCTTTGTGCAACTGCATCTCTGTTACCCACTGTGCCCCAGACCGACCCAGGCAGAGATGGATAACAGTTGCTGTATTGCTGCACTTCATGGTCTAACACTAAATCAAGCATCTAGTGAACTATTTCTTATATCCCAGGAGGGGATGGAGAAGGGAGTGCAGGACTGCTAGGTGCCCAGCTGGCTGCAAGTATACAAACATAACAGACAGGCAGAGACATTCTTTGGGCAACTTTAGCTTCAAGGGTAGTTTGACATAAATTTCTTCTGGAATTTGGACTAGCTTTAGAGCGGCTGGCTCTTCCAAGACCTCATTTTCTGTTGTTGTAGGACAACTGCTTCTGGGATGCAGCATGAATTCTATCAGAGAAATGAATGGGGTTAAAACCAACGTTGTTCTTAGCCTATCAGTTTGTTGCAGGACTGCACAAACGGCTGCTCTGGCAGCACTGAGAAAAGCAGCATCAAGTTGTTAAGCAGCAGCAGCTTCCCCAGCGCTCCTTATGGTAGCAGTGACATTGCAAAAAAATGTCTATGAAATCATGGCCACAGATCTGTTTTAAAACACTGCACTGTGAGTGATTGAGTGGATGCAGTTAGTGGGCAGTGTTCTCTGGGAGAAAGATAACACAGGTATGAACTCCTACACTGGGTGTAAAGCGGCCTTCCTCAACTGGAGATCAGGTGAATGTGGAGGCCTCCCTCACTACTTGGTCACACCAAGGGCTCTGTACAGCACAGTTCTCAAATAGTAACGAGGAGCCGTACTTTCATTCTAACAGCACCAGAAATTATTCATTAGCTTTAAATTGTTAACACAGATTTGGTAGGATTTGTGAAGCTGTTAAGGTGGTATGAATGTGAAATTGTAAGTGGGTTCCCTTTGAAGCGCTTAATAATTACAGTATCCTTTCTTTCTTAAACTTCTTTCTGTATTGCAGAGGTTTGTGTTGCACATGGCAAATATACCCTTCAGAAATTTTATGGAAATAAAACTTCTAAAAAAGAGGATGTTTTGAAGTGATGCTTTATCCTTTCAGAGAACGTCAGTGCAACGTTTCTGGTTACATATGCTACTGTTTCTAATTTTACTATTTTTTCTCTCCTTCCCCTCCTTCCTTTTTTCCTTTGTAGGAAAGAAACTGACATCTTCATAATCAAACTGTGGGAGTTGCTGCTGAGTTTGTTCTGCAGTCACCTCTTGTTGAGCACCAGGTTAGAAATGCAGATTTGCTTTGTTTGTAAATCTGAAGTTATCTGAGTTAGAGTCTAAAATGTTGCTTAAGTTTTAAAAAGCATCATCACTCGCACTGAAATGATTGCTGAAATAATATTTGGGCATGGTGGATTGATTACCAATTTTTTTTAAATTTGGATGGTATATAGAAATTGTTCAGATGTGTTTACCTTTGTGCAACTGCATCTCTGTTACCCACTGTGCCCCAGACCGACCCAGGCAGAGATGGATAACAGTTGCTGTATTGCTGCACTTCATGGTCTAACACTAAATCAAGCATCTAGTGAACTATTTCTTATATCCCAGGAGGGGATGGAGAAGGAATTTATGAATGACTAAATATGTTCTAACCCACTAAAGCATCTTCACTTGCAAACAAGAAAGGAAGATATTAGTTGCCAAAGCTCTATCAGAGTCAATCTATGGAACTACTGAAATGATTTACGTAGCACCTACAATTCATTTCTGGAGATTCTGCATGTGCTGCTGCCTCGAGAATCTGAACATCTTCAGTGTAGTGGTAGCTATAGTATGTTATATCCCTACAGTTCCATTAGAAAATGGGATTTTTGATGTTCCAAAAACTGGGAATATACACTGACAAATAAACAGTTTGTGTAGCTAGTTGTTCCAGTCTCACTGTATATAAGCATGTTTTGTTGTATTAAACAATGTTCTTGCATAATTTCTACTTTAACGTTGAAGATATTCTGTTGGTTTTGAAACTAGAATAAATGCTATAAATAAAACATTAATGAGCTGGTAATAGCTGTTGTGTGTCACTTGCTAAAGCAAAAGGTAAGGAGGTATAAAATTTGTTATCTGATATTATTTCTTAAATGCAGGTAGGTAAAACACCTCTACCGCTTACAGGAAAAGCTTCCAATGCATTTTATGATTACTGATTACAGAGAGAGATTTCTCAAAATAAGCACACAGTCATGATTGATTAAAACTCTATTTTTAATACTTTAACTCTACTTTTTTTGCCACCACTTTTCAGCCATTGACAGTGTCATAAAGATGAATAATTGTTTTTGGATTTTAGTGGAGGCTTGTCTGCCCTAGAAAGTGAGACATTTGGCTTTAATTGTTTCCCATGGGTGTTTTGTAGAAGCCATTTATGATTTACTCACATAATAGCTTTAATCAGGAACTTTACCTTTTGATCAAAATTCTTGATTTGCAGTTTGTTGTGGTTTGGGACAAAGGGGTGTATACACTGTGTTTGACTTTTGCCTGTAGGAAAGAAACTGCTTTCATTGGCTACCTGAAGAGGCAGCTCTAACCTTTCAATAAATTCCTTTCTAATTCACGTAGTGCTGAGGTGGTTTTCAGAAAGCATTTACTAGTGGCTGAGGCTGCAGTTGTAAGGTTTGCTTGCCTTAGAAGCATGTCTTACAAATGCTGAACTGGAGTGAGATTAGCAAATAGCTTGTGTTATTGATCTGTGCCTTAGGTGGTGGTGTTTGAAATGGATGGATGGATATAGCTACAATAGGAGTTTAAAGAATGTATCTTGCTATAGGTTCTAATGGTGTTACTAGAAGCTCAAAATATTTGTTTTAAACTGAAATAAAGCCTGTTAGTATTTAATCAGTACAAATACTAACACATTTCAGAAGATAAAAATCCTAATTCCATCAGTATAAGGACTTCTATATTTTTAATGTACATAACCTCAGACTGTGTATAGTTCTGATATATGTGATGTAACATATGTTTTGAGGATGAATGTAGTTTGGGAATACCACTACTGATTTTTCTTGAATACTCTTACATCACTTTGCAGGCTTCGTTGTACTGGATTAAAACTTCTGCAGTTAAGAGTATGGTTTCTGATTCTTCACTACATTCCTTCTATTTTACAATTAAAATAAGCCCTTCTATTTTACAATTAAAATACAGTGTAATTTCTGTGAGACTTGGAACTGTAAAAGCAGTTGTTTTAAAAATAATATTCAGTATATCTTGTTTCCTTTTACTAAGAAACTGAATGAGTCAAGCAGGTTAAAGTACTGTTACACCTGGAACAGAATCCTTACTTAGATGATGAGGATGAAAGATTAAATTGCTTTTCAGCAATATAAGTGAATAAACTGCAGAGTAATAAGCATCTGCTCAATTCTTTAGTTGGACACCTAGGCATTTCTCATTCTTAGAGATCAATCCTTAAATCTGCAGCATAAAAATGACTTTTTTCTCTCCAAGACAGTAGCGAGTTGGTTGCCTTGATTGGAATAATCTTGCACTGAAGCAGTGCCACATGCAACACTGGAAATGTATTAAGTGACTGCACTGTCACTAATGTTCTAACTATATACACACTAAATGTTTACTTTACAGTATTTCTTTTAGTATAATGAGTTCATTAAAAAAAAAGCTTTTGATGCTAATTCAGAGATCCATAATCTGCTCAGTGTCTTTCACATGTAGTTTTGATGGTAACTGACAAGCTGTAAGTTAATTAGCACAGAACTTACTAATGAGGATGCTAAAATCCTTACTTTCACATTTTTATTGATGCTTTTTGAACAAATTAGAGTAAGCTTGTATGTATGTCTTAAGTTTTAGGAACTTCCTGGATGTAGGTGCTTTTCTTAAGCAACAAAACTCCTGCAGTTAATTGAATGATAGGAAAGTTTTGAGAAGTTGACAAGAGTACTCATCTTCAGAAATGGGGATAACCCAAAACCAAAGCAATAAAACAAGGTCTGTTAATTAGCATGGAAGGCAGCTTCTTGAATTAATATGTGGTGTTAATTAACAGGAAGTCTGATGTTGTGTTGTAATTACCACCAATATTTTTGACATACTGAGTGACTGAAGGTGAATTATATAGATAGCAATTTAGTAAACACTTCAGAGCCTGGGAACATTTTTTTCCTTTGTTTCTGTTTCTCTAGAAATATGGATAGACTTCTGCGGCTTGGAGGAGGTATGCCTGGCCTGGGACAGGTTAGTATATAGCTTGTCAACATCGTCTCTTTTTGATATTAATCAGTTACTGGAATATGCCTTTAATTATTTAAATCAACACCCTCCCCCCCCAAAAAACAGAATTCATAGGAATAATATCTGACTTCAGAGATGCTATATGTGTATGCAAATCACTGGTTGTTACAGTCTGACTGCTTTTGTTGGTGTGAACGCTTGTGTTGGCACTGTGGTTTTACAGAATGTTTATTAACCTTTAATTTAGTGTTTGAACAGTTCTAGTTTGAATTCAAAAGCCATGGAAATAGAAAACAAAATTCAAAATGGATTTCCAACAATAGGGGTTTTCAGAGCATTACTGTTGCTCTAAGTGACGGAGTGTTCCCGTTTGTTTCTTTGCAAAATAAAGAATTCAGTTTTTAAACGAGGTTGTGGTAGGCATTATGTCTGAATCATGTATGTATTTCATCACTTGAAGGTAGCTGTAGCCACCTGCATGTCGCTGGCTATTGCCCTTGCTCCTGTAACTCAGCTCACAGCAGAAAGGCCCCTCTGGCAGCCATTCTCTTCCAGCATGAAGCCCACATGTGTGTGGTTTCTCCTACCTCCTTTGTGTCTCAGGTGCTTTTTTTCTCTTGGCCAGTTGGCGTCTTCAAAAATAAAACGAAGCTGATTTTACCACATTGGGCTGCCAGGCTTTTTCCTGCCTACCATTGATACGGTGGGGTGGGGAAGGAAAAGAACTTCTTTGTCTGAGGCTTCTGGGAAGAATCCTTTCCTTTTGGACAGGACAGCACTCCATGGTCCCATTGGTTCCAGCTGTACACAGTAGAAGGCCTTTTCCTTCTCTCCTCCTCTGTTCTAAGCCTGGAATCCAGGCTGTTGTGCTTTGGGAAGAAACAGTTCTGTTTGTCTTAACCTTTGTGATGTGTGTGTTTGCTTCTGGAATCACTGAGATTGTGAAACCTACAGCTTCTTTTGGTTGCGTATGACGTGTCTGTGTCCGGTGATGTAATCCTGAAGCACTTGGTGCATATTCTAAACTGATTACAGCCTCTAGGTGTTTGGTTAAATTAGCTGCAACTTCTCATGAGTATTTTTTTTCCCTTTTTATAGCTAAAATTCTATTCACACTCTCTTAGTGAATCTTCAAGCAGTCCTCAGTTATTTTTAGTTTCACTTTCTTAAGCAGTTATTTCTCTTGTTCCTCCGAGCTGCCAGCCTGCTTCATGACTCTTCAGTTTTTTAACATCTGCGCAGTCTAATCACTCAAGCTTTCACTTCTTGGTCCTCTCTGAACTTGACGCATATCAAAGCTGTTTTTCAAATTTACAGTTAACTTTCTCGGGTGTTTTCTGAATTTCTCAGCTATAATTTAAGGCTTGATAGGAAACTGCAGCAGACAATAGAACATAACAGTTAAAAGAAGCTTGATGAACTCCTCTGGCAGCTTTGGCCTGCAAAGCTGCTCTGTTTGTTTAAATATGGAATTGTCTCTTAAATGAATTGATGAGAATGTGTTGGATTGAAAAGAAAGTGGAAAACTGAATTGCTCTTTATGCAAGTTGCTGCTTGCACTGAATCTCTTGGCTACTTCTGTAGTCTTTGGCTTGCTGAAGCAGTAGGAAGGATATTTAACCAGAATAATCTTGTATCCTTAGAATATGGTGTTTTGATGGACATTCAAAGATCACTTCTGTTCTGAGTGTTGACTGAGATGTAATTGAAAGTGAATCAGAGGACTTTGAGGTGGAAGAAAGAAGTTGGGCATTTATTTTCACGCTATAGGATAAATAGGGCAACCCATTGGAAGTAACTCTATAGTGTACTAAACAATTGTATAGAACTTTGTTTTTCTTTGAAAGTTTTGCTTTTAAGGTTGAACATAGTAAAACTACCTGTTGGAATTATGCAAGAAACATCTGTGTAGAGACATATGAAAAAAGAAGCACTTTTAAAGGAATGCCATCTAATTCAATTCAGCATTTGTTTTTTTTTTTTTTTAGCTAAAGTTTTGATTTCTTAGTGGGAGAACTGTATCAAATAAGATCAGTTAATAGTTGATTTGATTTACTTTTTAACAAATATTTGCGCATCAGCCTGATAAGCACAGTTACTGTTTGATCTCTACCATGGGATTCTTTTTCACTGACTTGCCTTAGTTTCTTCAACAGCACCTGTCTCTTTCACCCTTCTAATACCACCTATATTATATTATTTGCTTTCCACATTACTTCGAAACTCCAAGATGCTATTCCTACAGCCAGTTGGATTTGTTCTTACATCTTTCTTTTCAGAAGTCTTTAGATGTCTTGTATTCTACTTGGGACCTACTTCTAGCAAATCCATTTTTTTCTCTATTTACTGCTTGTTTATCAACATATTATTGAGTTGTTATTTGAAGGCAAATCATCTGCTTTCAATGTTGAATTGTCCAGAGGTGGTCAGTGCTAAATATCAATGACCATATATGCCTTCATGTGGCTGCTAAATATCTGAGAAAGACAACATCACTATAAGAATAACCACATGCATATTTTAGCTGTGTTTTCCACCCATTGACTTATGGTTTAGACATCTTATAAATAGTTTCTTTATTAGTCATATATTGACAAGGACTGTGTTCTTACAGAAAAGAGGAACGAAGATGCTTTGGCATCACATAAGCAATCCGCAGTGTTTTTTGTCTGTCAGTAAACTTAGTCATTTACTTTGTGTTCCTTGTATGAGAAGATACCTATGTTAGTTTTGACCTTGGTACGATAAGTAAGATCTTCTTTGAAGCAATTCTTTGTGCGTAATTTGGTTCCCAGCTGCCTGGCAGTTTAACATTTGAATTTCTGCTTGTGCTATATACACCGAGAAGAGTGAGTGGTTGAGGGATTTTAAAAAGATGTGGGGGACCTGTTAGAAAGGGATATGATACTTATTATTCCTTTCATTTTCCTTCTGTTGATCATCGGAGTTCAGATTTTGGAAATACCTTTATTTTCCTTTTCTTGTATGTTCTCTTCCAGCGTCTTTGCTTTGTCATGTTTTTTTTCTTCCCCTTTTCTGGTTTGTTCATTTCCATCTCGCTGTTGTTTCCCCTGAAATACTGCCCACCACTGTATTTCACTGGTGACTTAGTACTTGGTGCTGCATTGTACATTTGCTGCAGACAAATCAACAGGCTTTGTGGGGTACGTGAAAGCATTCTTCTTAAGCAGCAGGCAGGAATTTGGAGCAACACTCCTCTTCATTTTGTATGCTGAGCTATTGTTTGCTAGTGAAATGAGTTCCACATATGTCTCTATTAGACAATCCTACTGGATGTTGACTCAGAGTGTGAGTAAATGAAGAGAGCAGAGCTGTTTGCCTAAGACTACTGGAAGAGTAACCCAAACTATGCAAGTTCTTGTCCACATGAACACACCTGCTCTATTTCTGTCTAGGTGTAATAGGGAGCAGAGAAATAAGTAATACTTCTAAAAATTGTTTTTCATTTTATTTGAAAATAATGGTTTACATTGTTGTGTTGGTGTATATGAATGTTCTAGTGCATTAAATGGAAAATTTATTTGTGTCTTTCTGAATTAGCATATTTGATGGTGGGGGGAGGGGAGAATATAAAAATGGGATGGAAGGCAGAGAGGAGTGACCTGTTTCTTACAAGGAATGCTTACACCTTGACGTGGAATACAGAAAATAGAAGTGCAGATAGCTATTTTATTTGAATAATGGACTTGCCAATTAGCCATCAAGTGCTTCCATCTGTGAAATAGTTGATCAGATGGGTTAGCTGGGATGTTTCCAGATTAGGGCATTGTAAATGGCACTTGAAAACTGTCACTTTGATTATGAGGTTTAAAGCATTGCAGTGTCTGATTCAGTGGAACCTTTTCCCTCATGTTATCATGGGTTTTCAGAACATACTGATCCCATTGAGTAAATCTATGGCACCGTGGGAACTTGGGAGACCTGCCACTGATACGAAGTTCTGTTGCATCTGCTAATGTAGCCAGGATGGTTATTAGAAAAGAGCACTACTGGTTTGGTTTTCTGCAAGGCTTCAGAATAAGAGTTGGTGAGCTGGCAGACAAAGGAGGGTCAGACTCACATTAGCTCGTTTCCAATTATCAATTAAATGCAGGTTTTCTTGATTTACTTCATTGGAATAAACTGATGTGTCTTTAAGTAAATGGCATGTTCTAGCTGGCTAATCTGCATGCTAATATCCCCTTGTGTAATAAGGCAACTTATAGAACATTATTTTAGTTAATTGCTTTTTGAAACAGCTTGTTCTTAGTTTGGAGGATACAAGTGTGTCTGTTGAATGCTGTTGCCTTTAATGTAAGGAACTGGGTTGTTTTGTCTGCTTTTTCTTCAAAAAGCTTGGAGCGTTTCTTATAGTTTTTGGTATCTATTTCACCTCAGTGACTTTCTCGTTCCTGTGTCCCCTGGGTGTGTAAACTTTGTGGCCTGAATTGTGATGGCACACAATTCTCTGCTTCCCATGTATTTCAAACTTCTGATATTCCTTCTGAGAGTACTGTACCAGAGCAAGAAGTCTGAATTTGCAGCTCTAGAATTTATGCGTCTTTACTGTGCCACTGTTTGTGTGACGTTTTCCACTGAAGTCTCCAAGTACTCAATGTTTTTATTGCTAAAATAGTCAATATACATCCCAGCTGATTGGTGGAGGGAAGTTAAAAAAAAAAAAATAATAATAATAATAATACAGCTTGTGTGACTTCTGATTTTACTTATTTCCCCAGAAGATATCAATCCTTTTAAAGAGCAGCAAGCTTTAACATTTTCTCAGTGACAAACAGTAGTTGTCCACTGAAAACCATCCAACATCAATTCCTATAAAATTTTTGAAGAACTTAATGGCCTGCAGTATCTCCTACAGAAATTCTCAGCTTTCATATCTAAAATCACAGCATGGTTAAGATTGAAAGAGACCTCTGGAGGTCAGCTAGTCCCTCCTTGCTCAGGCAGATATACGTGCTTGTTATGTGTTTTATATAGCTGACCAT